CTTTTAGGCTCTTTACCACAATGTCGTCGACATATACCTCCAGATTCTTGCCAATCTGAGCGTGGAAGACAATGGTTACCATTTTCTGATAAGTAGCACCTGCATTCTTCAAGCCAAACGGCATCATGACATAACAATAAATTTCATCGCTAGCATAGAACGCGGTTTTCTCTTCGTCTTCTGGAGCCATTGGCACTTGGTGATACCCCGAATATGCGTCCAAAAGGCTTAACCTCTCATTGCCTGAAGCCGCTTCAACTAATTTGTCAATGCTCGGCATTGGATAGCAATCCTTAGGGCAGGCGTTGTTAAGATTTGTGTAATCAATGCACATTCGCCATTTGCCATTTGCCTTCTTCACCAGAACTGGGTTAGCCACCCATTCATAGTAATCAACTTTCCTGATAAAACCAGCCTGTAGGAGCTTCTCTACCTCGTCTTTAATAGCCTGAAGCCTCTCACCCCCAAAGAGACGCTGCTTCTCGACCACTGGTTTCTTCAATGGATTGGTGCTGAGCTTATGTTGAGAGACTGAATTTGGAATTCCTGGCATATCTGCTGAAGTCCATGCGAATACATCATTATTAGCTCGGAGAAAAGCTATTAGCTCTGCCTTTTCCTCTGGGTTCAATCTAGTTCCGATCTGCGTCTTTCGGCTCGGATCTCTGTCATCAATGAGCACTTCTTCAACATCTTCGACCGGAGCAGCTCTGGTTTCATCTTCTGGTCGATTGTCTACGATCTCAACACCCATAACTTGCTGATTATCAGGAATTTGCTGAGGAATGGCCTCGGGTGTCTGAGCTTTGCCCTTCATGGGTTGTGTTACCGAGGTGATATAACAATGCCTGGCCACCTCCTGGTTTCCTCGCAGTGTTGCTATTCCCATAGGAGTTGGGAACTTCATGCAGAGGTGAGATTGGGAAATTACAGCTCGGATTTCAGTCAGTGTGGGTCGGCCAATAACAATGTTGAAAGAGGACGCCATCTTTACTACAAGAAACCGGACCGACGGGGTCACATAGGTCCTGCCACTCCCAAAAGCCACATGTAGAGTAAGAACTCCTTCTACCGTAATAGGTTGGTTGTTGAAACCATAGATAGGACCATCATATTTCTGCAACAATGCTGGATCCAGTCCCAGACTCTCGAAACAGTGGAAGTACATGATGTCTGGTGCACTCCCGGTGTCAACAAGGACACGCTGTACTTCACAGTTGTTAATCATGACAGAAGTGACCAAGGGATCATTATGGGGTGTGACAACTGTATCGAGATCAGCAGACGTGAAAGTAATGGGCTGATTTTTCCACTCAGCATCGTCAATCTTTCGCTTCTAAGCTCGGTTTTGATGTTTAACCTCCCTGACATACAGCTTTCGCTGCTTAGAGCTCAGTCCACCTGCTTCAAGGCCTCCCGTAATCATATGTATGATTCTAGCTGGTGGTGGGAGTGGAGGTGGGGCTTGCTGATATCCTACACCTTGCCTATTTGGGGGATTGCGGACTCCTTGAGGCTGCGGCCTCTGTTCTCTGATAAACCTCGGCTGTTCAGCTCTCTGAACATACTCATTTAGCATTCCCTTCTGAGCTAAACTTTCCAGTTCGGACTTTAAGCTGTTGCACTGCTCTGTAGTATGGTCGTGATCTTGATGAAAATCACAATATCTGGTGTGGTCTCGACTAGCAGTAGTAGTTTTCATTGGGCTAGGACGCCTTAAATCCATTTTATTCTTGATCTGCATAAAAATTTGTGACCTCGGCAGATTAAAGGGAGTCCAATTAACTGGAGGTTTACCTGCAGATTGTTGTGGAGGTGTTGAGTTCGTCCTTCCGAATCTCGTTGGGGAGGTCAACATCGGACCTCGGTTCTGCGCCATTCTCATCCTTTTCCGGCTCGGATTGTCATCTCTCCATTCTGGGTTTTGGTTCTTAGAGGAAGGTGGGTTTTGCGCCAGGGCGTATTCCTCAGCAGTTATGAATTTCAGAGATCTGTCGTTTACCTCGCTAAAGGTGGTGGCAGCATGTTTGATCAAACTGTCTCGGAACCTGTCATGTTTGAGACTAGAGATTACAGCTGCAATGCCCACAGCTTGGTCGAAGGAATTAACCTCCAACACCGCATCATTGAACCTGCTCATGTAGTTCTTTAGAGACTCTCCGTCCCTCT